AAAAAAAAAAATTATTCATTATCAATAAATTAAATAAGAGAAATAATTTAATTAGTTATATTGTATTTATTTTTCTCCTATATAAAAATTCTTTACATTCAAATTCATCAATTGATTATATTCGCTACATTGTCCCTACAATGTCTTTATTAAAAAAAATTTATTCATTATCAATAAATTAATTAAGAGAAATAATTTTATTAGTTATATTGTCTTTATATTTCTCCAATGTAAAAATTCTTTACATTCAAATTCATCAATTGATTATATTCACTACATTGTCTATTATCTTTTTTGTGTACTATTTTTAAATTAAATATCAAAGTTATAATACAAAATAATGCTATATATTTATTTACCAAGTATTTTATTAATACCATGAAAAAATTAAAAATATATAATTAATAAAGCCAATCATATTAACTACTTGAGGAATTTGTTGACAAAGAGAGTATTCAAATCACACAACAAATTGAAGTGAGAACTACCCCGCAATGTCCTTGTTTGACAATCAACAGTTAGCGGATTATATTAGCAAATTTGACCAGCGAATTATATCAACGGTTGGTAAAAAGATATTTAAAAAAATTAGCTGTTTAGATTAACATGTAAAATGAAAAAATTGCATATATATATATATATATATATATATATATATATATATATATATATGTAATTGTTTTAAAAAAATAAAAAAAAATATAATTAAGCCAATCATATTAACTACTTGGGGGATTTATTGACAAAAAGAGTATTCAAATCACACAATAAATTGAAGTGGAAACTATCTCGCAATGTCCTTGTTTGGCAATCAGTAGTTAGCTCTTCAATATTAGTATATATTTAATATTTTATTTTCGAATTTTTATTGTTCTCCCTTATGTCACGTATTTGGTTTCAACCATACCTATACATTTATTTTATTGACAATTATAATCAATCTTGACTATATTATCTTGCATTTGTAAACTTAGAATTGCCTATTAAATACACAAATTTAACATTCAATTATCTATGCATTAACAAATCTAATATAATCTTGTCTTGATATACTTTAAAGTACTTATTTTAAAAAATAAAACATTGGGCATTATCTCAATCGCACAATGCACGTAAAAAACTAGTAATTTAATAAGAGTAAAATAGAGTACTAATTATGCCAACTTTGATTGGGATAAGGTTCAAACCTAAGACTTTTTTTTTATTGAAATCAATGAGTAAGTTAACGGTGAACTAACGGCTATTCTTAAAATTTTAACAGAATTAGTAACGGTGTGTGGGTATTTTAGGAAATTTTAGTGTAAAATTTAAATCTGATCAATCTTTTAATCAATCTGAGCCATTCATTTGATTAAAATCTGTGACCGCCATTTTTTCTACCCATTAGAGCATCTCCAACCCATACTACTCCAAAACACCAAATTTTTCCAGCAAATGTCACACCATATTCTCACACCAAATTTTATTCATCTCCAACCCATTTACACCAAAACATCAAAACACCAAACTTTTACACTAAAACAATTTTATTTTTCAATTATTAGTTCGAATTTAGTTAGTTTAAAATAATTTAGTTCGAACTTAATTAGTTTAATATAAAATATAATTTGTAATGTAAATAATAATTTTTATTTACATTAATTTTTTTATAACATTAATTATTTTAAAAAATCGAATTTAACAATATTTTTAAAAATTTAATTTATTCCACAATAATAACTTTTATTATGTTTGATATATTTGAAATTTTAATAAATATATATTCAATATTAGTCTTGTTTAGATTGTCTCAATGAGATCTTTAAAATGGTATAATTTTTATTTTATTATACAAATTTTAAATATAAGTATTTAACAAAATAAAAAATTACATATAAAACAAATAAAAGATATATTTGTAATTAAAAAAAAAAAGAAAGAAGGGCAAAAGAGTCCATTTTCTCCCCATTCTCCATTTGGCGTGAATGAACAGTGCTACGCCAAATATGGCGCGGCACTGTTCACTAACACCAAAAGAAATGGCGATATAGCGTTATGCAAATACACATTAGAGATCAGAATTTTGCCAAAATAACAAAATGGCGTTAGAATTTGCAGATATGAGACCCCCCTTGGAGATGCTCTTATAGGCCTAACTCTCTTGGACTCTTATTAATATAGTAGATATATATATATATATATATATATATATATATATATATATATATTATTTTGTTTTGTTTCTTCATTTCAACTCTTACAAATCAGACCACCACTCACCCCCCCCCCCACTCCCCCTCCCCATCCCAAATAAAAACCTTCAAATTTTGATTTTACCATTGATCTTGCTCTAAGAAGATTTGCATTACCTCCAACTATTACCTCAAAATTTTGCATAACAATAAAATAAGATCACTGAGATAATTATATAACTTGAAAAAAATAAAATTATACGGAGTATAACATTATTATGCTCGCTCACATTACTTAGGTAACGTACGTTACATAATTAATTTGAATTAAACGCATCATAAGTACATATGCATGAGAAGATTATATATATACTTATACAAATAAAATATTATTTTCCATTTGCAGTCAAAAGCATGAGTGCGAGTTTGAACGTTGGGGGTAGCATGGACCAGAATAGCACGCTCCTCTTGTTTGTTTTCAAGTGCATGCATAATCCACTTCATTATTTTTTTTTAATTAATTAATTTTCCAATTCCTCTCACAACGTGATCCTTATACTTTACTCTACCCGGATTTAATAAATTCATTCAAAACTTTAATTTGCTCCTTCTCATTTATCTCTTCCAAAAGATTGAATCCTCAACTCCAAGGTCCCTTACATCCCAATCCGACAGAATATTTGAGAGGATGTAAATTACGGTGATTCAATGGTTCGACATACAGGATCAAATGTTAGTGCACACAAGAGATCCCAAATACTGTTTACTGAACCAGTGAATTAAGCTTTGTGTGGGCTGCTCCTTCTCATTATCTATCTTTACTACAAACTATTAATACTAACGGCTAGTTAAAATAATTACTGCAATCGGTTATAAGCTAATTGTTAAATATTCCTATAACATTATTTTCTTTTATGTATAATTGTAAATGTTTAACTATTAAATGTAGATCTTCTTTCATAAATAATTGTTGTAAAGGTTTAACTCTAAATTTATATTTGTTCTTCTCTTCAAAAAAAAAAAAAAAAAAAAAAAAAAAACAAACTTTATTAATTTGGATGGCACACTTTATGCCTTCCAAATACAAGTAAGAAAACGGAAAGTTTGATTATTGCCTATTATTAATTATTATATGAAAAAAACAATGTTAAATTTTGTTGTATGGGTGGGTACTTGAATTGTTAAAAAAGTATTAGAAGAATTATAAAATTTCGTAAATTTAATGTTCATTGATTTATGTAAATATGACTGAAGTATTAAAGCAATTACTCCTTATCTAAAAAAAATTATTTTTAAATTGAAATGTCCCATAATTATCGGCAAATTATTGTGTGGACCGTGGTCCACATAGACCAGAGTCCAAAACGACGTCGTTGAATTTTATGAGTTAGAATAATGTATACTATGAGTTAGAATAATGTACTTTATGTGTTAAAATAATGTACATTATGTGTTAGAATAGTGTACTTTATGCGTTAAAAGAATGTGTGTACATTATGTGTTAGAATAATGAAACTTCTGAAGTAAGATAATGTATTTTATGTGTTAAAATAGTGTACATTATGAGTTATAAAAATGTATGTTGCAATAGATTGCGTGAAAAAAATTTACGCGAAATGATGTCGTTTTTAAATCGTGGTCCACACAGCCGTGTAGACCACCGTCCACGCAATAACTATTTGTTAATAATGGCTCCCATATAATAACTATTTGATTACCTCATTATTCTAAATATACTCTTTAAAAACACTCTACTTTTATTATAAGGCAATGCATTTATTATTGGCAAAACATAAATACATTGCTAAATCAATACATTAAATATTTTCTTTTAAATCCGTGTGTTCAGTCAAAATTGACAAATATTTTTCAAATGGAGTACAAAATATTTTTTTGATGTAAATCACGAGCTCACTCCGAGAGGCACGGAAGCTGATCCAGGAGGAATCGTCACTTGTGAAAATTGAGCCCAAATTATCCTAAAAAATTTTTCCACAAAGAAAATTCATTTGCCATTTGAACTCCATGTTTGATATTTGATGATTTTAAGACATTTATTAAAACAATTCGTTATACATTAACCTTTTTTTTTAAAAAAAATATTTAAGTATCAACTGAAATTATTAAGACGTGTATTATTGTACTAATAAAGTAAAAGCATTATACACAATTCATAAAATTTCACAATATATGATAAGTTTTATGCAAACTCAGCCTTAATTTGTTCATCATCAAACCCTAAAAACAACCTAAAATACCACATAAAACTTCCCATTTGACTCTGAAATCAAGGAAATTGTCTAACTCATGCATGATTTAACAACAATCTAAACAACTTAACAATGATGTCCCCCAAATCCAACCAAAAAAAAAGTATAAAATTCTTTTCAACACTGAAAATGATCCATAGGAGACAGCCAAATGCAATAAGAACCCTACCAAACAAGGCCCAGCACTAACCATATATATAGTGGGCAAGCTCCATATATATATATATATATCATCACTCCATGAATGAATCTTCTAAATTAAAAGCAAATCACCAGTACTATTAACTCTGATATTGTTTAGAAATTAATTAAGGATGGTAGTAAATGTCACGGGTATTTAGTAAAAACCTTAATCCGGATTAGGAAATCGCTAAAAGAAAAATAAAATATGCTGTCATCCATAATTTGAATGCAACGTCTCCTAGACACAGCCACATGGCAGAATTAAGTGACCGTTGCGGCCCGAACCGCAGTCTTCTTTTACGAGATCGCATCCAACGGCCACATTTCCATAACTAGCCGTTGGATTTGAATAAAGACCCTCGCTCTACCCCCTCTGATTGTATGCCTATCCAGCAGACAACGCCCCTTCAATCTCTCCCTCTCTCTCTCTCTTTGCTCTTTCCCCTTTGGGGTTTTTGGCAAACACAGTCTTCTCTTCTCTATCTTCTCGGGTCCTTTACTAGAGCTCTCTCTGAGATTTGGATCTGGGGGCTTGGAGAGAAGGAGGAGAGAGAGAGAGCTTTGTTTTCTTGGGTTGTTGTTGTTTGTCGATGAGTTCTGAAATTAGGATGGATCAAGAAAACATGATTGCATCTGACGAGAACAATGTTGCTTTGATGAAACCAACTAATGCTCAAGGTAATTGCCGGTTGAGAAGATGTGGGGTAGTAGCAAAAAGATTGAATCTTTTTTTATTGTTTTTCCTTTTGAGATTCAAATTCATAAAAATGAAGTCTTCTTAAAAGGGGTCTTGACAATTCAAAATTCAATCTTTATTTATTTGTTTATTTTAAAATCTTTTCTGAATTTAAACCCTAAGTCTTTGGCAAAAAAGATCAGATTTTGAAATGTGTCTTCCTTGTTATTGTTGGTTGGTGTCATGTCTGTATATCTTTCTGAATTTAATTTTTTTCTGTATGGGCAAATGAAGGTGGGGGAGAAATGGGTGGAAGGAAGTTTGGGATGGAGATCAGGCACAACAGGAGAGCACTGGGAGTGATAAACCAGAATTTAGGAGCCCATCCATGCCCATTTGTTGTTACCAAAAGAGGATTATCAGAGTAATTCTAATCTCAAATCTAAAGATTTTTTTTTGCCTCTTATTTCTGTACAAAACTGATATCTTGAAAACACTTTTCTTGTGTCCAGAACTACTAATGGGGTCTGCAATAACAATCCTCCTGTACCATCTCATAGGCCCATCACAAGGTCAGCTAAGAAATTCTGAAGATTTCTTCTATTTTTTTTTTTTCCTAATCTATGGTTCTTTAAGCCTGATTATTCAAATTTCATTTTAAAATAAAGGAAATTTGCTGCCCAAATTGCTACCTCACAGCAACACTATCATGAGGTATTGTACTGTGAATTCCCATTTAAATTTCTTTTAAAAAAAAAAAAAGTTTTTGAAAATAAAAAATGAATCTCACTGGAAATGGCTCTCAATGATGTTGAACAGGAAACCAAGAAAGCAAAGATTGCAGCTGAAGATGAATTCACAGTATGGGAGGATGTTCCCCTTCATGAAGTGGGTAAAGACCAAGCTGTCCCCATGGCTTTGGAACAGGCAGAACATGAAAAATCTCACATGGTAATAATCTTAAAGCTGTTCCTAAATAATATAATATTTGAAGCCTTTATATGAGAACAAACTGAAAAATTCCATATGTTGTTTTTGCAGGAGGTTGAAATGGAGGATATATTTGAGGAAACCATAGTAGACATTGACAGTGGTGATGAGAAGAACCCACTTGCAGTTGTGGACTATGTGGGTGATATCTATGCCTACTACAAAAAAGTTGAGGTACCCAAATTAACATTATACAAAGAATGTTTTTTTAATGTTATAAACAGTTGTAATAGATCAATCAAGCAACAGTTGTCAGTTCAACAGATACAGTTTCAAAATTTTCTTTTTTTCAAATCATTTGTTGTTTAAAAAGAAGTCTAATTTAAAGATTAAGTCTTTTGTGGGTATATTGGATTTCAAAGTTAGGGACATTTGAGATCTTATTATTAGGTAAAGAATACTTTAAAAAGATGCTTTTTTGAATTCAAAAAATCTAAGCAGTACAAAATGGTCTTTTATGAATGGGTTAGATCTGAGGTAAGAAATTCTTACAAGAAGACTTTCCTTTAGGTCAATGCTTTCCTGGTTTTTTGGGTCAAGTGAACACTGTTAGCAGTAAAACATGTTCTTTTTTACCAGAAGTGGGCTGTCATTTTTGAAATTTATTTAATCATAAATTAAATATAATATATAATTGGATATAGCTAATAATTTGGGTTTTTCTAATGCAGCACTGTAGCTGTGTTTCACCAGACTATATGGCTCAGCAGTTTGACATCAATGAGAGGATGAGGGCTATTCTGATTGACTGGTTGATTGAGGTAAAAGAAAAATGGGATTTTGAGATTTTTTTTTTTTTTTTTTAATTTTAATAAATAGTGGAATTGGGGTATTAATTATGTGTTAGGGGTAATGATGAAACAGGTGCACCACAAGTTTGAACTAAGGGAAGAGACATTATTTCTGACAGTTAACCTAATCGATAGGTTTCTAGAGAAGCAGTCTGTTGTGAGGAAGAAGTTGCAGCTTGTTGGACTGGTTGCCATGTTGTTGGCATGCAAGTACGAGGAGGTTTCTGTTCCTGTCGTGGATGATTTGGTGTTCATTTCAGACAAGGCTTACACAAGAAAAGAAGTGCTAGAAATGGTAAGCACCCGTTTCAGTTTTCTTGAAATTGCCCACAAAATGCAAAATTCTCAACGACCAATTGAGTTGCTTGGGGAGCAGTTTTTTCTTGAATTATTGATGGAATAAATTGCTGCTTGCTGAGCATATAGTCATTAATGTGCAATCATCAGTTGGTATCAGAGCCAGACCAAAAGTCATGGTTTCGAATCTCAGCGCCAATTCTGTTGCTATTGTCATCAATAAATGCACAAGTCAATAATAATGGTGACTTGATTTTGGTTGCAGGAGAGTTTGATGCTGAACACGTTGCAGTTCAACATGTCAGTCCCAACTCCATATGTGTTCATGAAGAGGTTCCTCAAGGCGGCTCAATCCGACAAGAAGCTGGAGCTCATGTCCTTCTTCTTGATCGAGCTTTGCCTGGTGGAGTACGAGATGCTCAAGTTCCCGCCGTCCTTTCTGGCGGCGGCCGCCATCTACTCCGCCCAGTGCTCGCTCTACGGCGTTAGCCAATGGAGCAAGACCTGCGAGTGGCACACTGGCTACACAGAACACCAACTTCTGTAAGAACAATATATATATATATATATATATATATATATATATATATATATATATATATATCCCTCCATTCACTTGCTTTCTGCAGATCAATTTTCTGATCCTTTAAGGTTGTTTTAATTTGTTCAGAGAAAGCTCGAGAAAGATGGTGGGGTTCCACCAGAATGCCGCAACGGGGAAACTTACAGGAGTACATAGGAAGTACAACACATCAAAATATGGGTATGCTGCAAAATGTGAAGCAGCCAGTTTTCTTCTTGTACAGACCCAATAACAGACAGGGAGATTCAGGGGGGGCATGTACAGTGCACTCTAACTATACATGACTTTCTATAATTGGGGGATACAGCTTTCTGGGGTAATGCATGCTAATTTACAAGAATAATTTGTTAGCAACTATCTGTTGCCCCGGGGGAGGGGGGATTTGATCATCTGATTTTTATTGTTAGAAGAAGAGAGGGAGGGGGTTGTGTTGTTTGCAATTGCAAAACAACCATGATCATTTTCATTTGTTATTTGGAACAGATCTCTTTATTGTATTTCTGCATATTTTCTTCTTCTTCTTTTAATAATCAAAGAAACACCAGAATTTATCCGTTTCTCTTGAATTTCCATGCAAGCACTGTTTTGCTATTTGGGTTCTTGACCACTGAAATGGGCAGGCAGATTTCACGAGGGATGGACTGGCTTGAAATTTGGACAAAAGAAAGAAAAACTCATTTGGGACTTGAGATTCTAGTAAAAGACAACAAGTCCACTTGAATTCTTGTACATGACAAATGAAAGTGAGCACTTCCATTTGTCGAAAAGAAATAAAAAATTAAAGCTCTACTCCAGCATCCTTAATTTCTAGGATGACCATGGACTTAAAGTGTACTAACTATTTCTTCTGCTTATGCAGATGGCGAAAGCCTTTAAGTTCTTCACTATGAAGAGGCTACAAGTGGTTTCAAAAAAAAAAAGAAAAAAAGGCTACAAGTACGAACCCCACTATGATGATTACTTTGCTGATGATTTTAACGTTAAGAATATAGGCCAACGAGTTACCACACTTCTTATATGCTTTCGGCGGGTGGTATCATTAGCCACCATTGAATCCTACTTAAATTTTAACATGGAATCAGAGCAATATCATTAGTCACTCTGGGATGAGTTGACTACATAGTACATATCAAGTATCTAATGACCATCTAGCGTCTCAGTGTTTTTTTTCAAAGTATTTGTTTTGGCATTTTGTTTTGACATTTTGGTATTGTCTGTTGCCATATTACTTTCCATAATGAGTTTCCTGCGGGTTTTGGAGTTCAATTTTGACATTGCTGGCCAGTAGATTTTGTTGGCTGCTGGTTGAGGATGAGTTGACTACATATTATGTTATTTGCAAGCTTTTTGCATCCATATGCTTTAGCTTGAGAGGCTTGTTAAACGTTACTATTAGAGTTTTTTATGATATAAAATTTAGTTTGTTGAGATTTTAACTATATTCTTAGATTTAGTTGTAGGGCTTATACGTCCGACCCTTTGACTAGCCTCCCGACCATTACTGACCTGGTCCAAGCATAATCAAGTTCGCCAGTTACATAGTTATGTGGTGGTGCTTGTCCCGAGCACCCGATCGGGAAGACTACCACGTAGCCTGGTTAACAAGATTCGGATCTTTCCTGGGATTATTGTTTGGATTTGTAACTTCTCTCAAGCTCATTAGAAAGGACTTGTAACAGTAACAACTTTTAGATTTAGTTGTTCATGCTGCCTTTTCGGCAGGTGGTATCATTAGCCACTGTTGGATCCTACTTAAATTTTAACATGGAGTCGGATCAATATTCTTCAAACTTCAACTAAATTTTCAGGTATCTAATGACATCTAGTGTCAATGTTTTTTTCAAGGGTTTTTGTTTTGGCATTTCGATATTGTCCGTGATTTCCTAATCTGAAGCAATTTAAGGGACATGCAAACTAAAACTTTCAATATATTAGAAAAAAACTCTAGATTTGTAGATTTTAATTAAAAAAAAAAAAAACCCGAGCGTACAACTAAGACAAATCGTATGACATATCAAACAATTAGTATACCATTATATCACATTATCACGAAAAGGTAAAAATATAATATTATGATTTTAAAAATTACTTTGTTTCTCCAAATAATCCAAAGGCTTTGAAAATTATATAATATTCGTTGTTATAATTTATATAATTGTATATTGATCCAAATATTTTAAAAATATTATAACAAATTTATTTCATGCAACGCACGGTAAAAATACTAGTAATTTTTAAATTTAATTTTTTGTATTTAAAAGTACTTTTAATATAATTTTAAATATATAAATTTATATATTAATTTAAAAATTAATATTATGAAAAAATTTGACTTGTAAATAAATTCAATCAAATTAAGAGAATTCATTTTCATTGTAAAGTTGCCAAGTTGGCATGAAATTCAAGCGTATAAGAATATATAGAGTTCACAAAACCTCTTGCAAGTTGCAATATTGGATCTCCATTAAAGAATATCACATTCTCCAAACTTAGGTAGAAGTAGAAGCTTAAACATGGCCGCCATGTCCGCCGCTACCCTGAAAACAGCCACCTATCACCACCACCACCACCTGAATTCCGTTACACATATCGCCACCTTCCCCCACACCGTTTCCCCTCCCTCCACCACCAAGGCTGTCGCCGCCAAATCCATTTCCATCACCTGCAACTCGGCAGCCAATGCCGCCGCCGCCGCGCCAGTCCAAACTCCGCCGCCGTCCGCCGTCTCCTCAGATCGCGTCTTCAACTTCGCCGCCGGTCCCGCCACTCTTCCCGTGAACGTCCTCGAGAAGGCCCAGGCTGAGCTCGTGAACTGGCGCGGCTCCGGCATGTCTGTCATGGAGATGAGCCACCGCGGGAAGGAGTTCGTCTCCATCATTCAGAAAGCCGAGGCAGATCTGCGGGCTCTCCTCGGCATCCCCGAGGATTACGCGGTCCTCTTCCTCCAGGGCGGCGCCACCACCCAATTCGCCGCCGTGCCGCTCAACATCTGCGCCCCTGACGACACCGTCGATTACATAGTCACCGGTTCGTGGGGAGACAAGGCCTACAAGGAAGCAGTAAAGTACTGCAAGCCCAACGTGATCTGGAGCGGAAAATCGGAGAAATACACCAAGATCCCCAGCTTCGACTCGCTGGAACAGACCCCGCACGCCAAGTGTTTGCATATATGCGCCAATGAGACCATTCACGGTGTGGAATTAAAAAATTACCCGACCCCCAAGAATCCGAACGCCGTTCTTGTTGCCGATATGTCATCCAATTTTTGTTCCAAGCCCGTCGACGTTTCCAAATTCGGTATCATCTACGCCGGAGCCCAGAAAAACGTTGGCCCTTCAGGCGTCACCATTGTAATAATCCGTAAAGATTTGATCGGAAATGCACAGCCAGTTACTCCTGTAATGCTGGACTACAAGATCCACGCGGATAACAATTCGCTGTATAACACTCCCCCTTGTTATGGGATTTACATGTGCGGCCTAGTTTTTGAAGATCTGTTGGCTCAGGGTGGACTGGGAGAAGTGGAGAAGAAGAACAAGAAGAAAGCTGACATTTTGTACCAGACTATAGATTCTAGCAATGGGTTCTACAGGTGCCCAGTTGAGAAATCTGTAAGGTCATTGATGAATGTGCCCTTTACACTGCCAAAATCTGAGTTGGAAGCTGAGTTTATAAAGGAGGCTGCTGCAGAGAAGATGGTGCAGCTCAAAGGGCATAGGTCAGTAGGAGGAATGAGAGCTTCAATCTACAATGCTATGCCCTTGGCTGGAGTGGAAAAGCTGGTTGCTTTCATGAAGGATTTCCAGGCAAGGCATGGTTGAGGACTTGAGGTCTTGTTAAATACTGCCATGATCTATTTGGTTCAAGCTTTAAAGTTACTTTTTTCTTTACATTGCCTATCATGAATCTGCTTTATGCTTTACCTCTATGATTCTACTTGTCTATATGGGTAGAGTTTGGCAGCTTTGGGAATATGGTTGATGCTAAGCAATGCAATTTGTTTAGCTTATCTGTTCTTGTTTTCTATGTAAGAATTTTGAAATGTGAGCAGCATAAGAAGCCTTATAAGAAAAAATGCATTCCCCTTTTTGGTTTTCATTCTTTGCTCTTGGGTTCTTGAATTGTTTATTAGAAAGTTACAAATAAATGTCACAATGGCTTAGAGTACTCAAAATATGATTCATTGGTTTGCCCTGCCGGGTAGCTCAAGTGGTAGATATCTCAACATTTAATCGGTAACCCGAGGAACTGGTAAGAAGAAGTAAATTGTCTCCTGTATGCTGTATTGCTGTAGTGCCAAAATTTTCAGATCTTCAGACATTAATAGGTTACTGAACTGCAAGAATCTGTGACAGGGTTCCCACTGATTTTTCAAGTTTCATGGACTATAAATTTTATTAGCACTTTGTCCCACAAAAGACAAAATTCCTGGGGTAAACTACGGTGACTCAACGACTCATTAGGTTGGAGGATCAATGTCTGGTGCCTAGAAGGAACCCACCACATTAGCTGTAACTCCCTTACTCCCATACTGCGACTATCAGAACTTATTCTTGTGTCTTTGCTCACAATCTATTATTCACGAATCAACTAAGCTGCCCGTGTGAGTTTTATTAGCAATCTTACTTCAAGTAGTTGGTGATGTTGACCAAATCAACTAGGTTAAATGTAAAATTGTTGAAATCTTGTGTGATGTTTTCTTGATGATGATCAAGAACAAGCAACATGCAACCTACATGGGTTTAGCAGAGCGAATGTGTTCATCATTCACCAACCATCATTATTAGATTCAGACAGTGACAATTCCCTTTTTTCAGCAAATAATGAAATAAATTTGTGCCCATTTAAATATTTTCTAGATCTCACACTGTAGCTAGCCAAGACAAGAACTGATTTATGACTTGACATTTAGTTTTTGAATTGGGATTCAGATCTCTTTTAATTCAAGTTGCATGTGTAGAATTTGATAGCATTGGCAATGTACAAAAACTCGTGTAAAACTGTCTCACAGATAAAATCGATCTCATAGATTTGAAAATGAGTTCTCACAAAAAGAAAGTATTTAGTTTTTAAAAGTATTATCTTTTGACTTAAAAGTAATAAAGTACATTATTCTAACACATAAAATATATTATTCTAACTCATGTACATTATTCTAATTCATAAAATTCAACGACATTGTTTTGAATGTTCATATAGTTGTGTGGACCGTTGTCCTCTATGGACGTTAAAGCTTTCTTGTGGGGTGTTGTTATCCCTTGTTAGGTCACGTATTCTTAGCCATGACAACAGTTTCGGTTCTGGAAATGGCCGAACCGGTGGAACCTTAATATAAGGTTTTGATTTCGATTTTTGAACCGACGGTTTCAGTTTGAACCGTCTGATCAAACCGTGATGAGAAAATGATACTTTTTCTCCATGAGTTATATGCTTATACCACTTTTCTTCCTGAGTTATTCATGTATCCACATTTGCTGCCTCAGTTATGTTAAAAGTGACGGTTTTCTCTCTTTATTGTTAGATTAGATAGATATTTTTACCTTTAAAATATAAGTAT